GTTAGAAATGTATAGAGACTTCACAAGCAATTAACGCAATTATTTTTATTAATAGAATTTGCAATGTAGTCTCTCTCTCATGCTAGTATCGGTAAAAAAGTTTCTCCATTTTTCAGGCAGTAATTTGTTCGATTCTGTCGACATTATTATTATTATTGTATATACAAAATATAACAGCTATAGCAACGCCATTGCGAAATATCATTATTTCTTAATGCCGTTGCAATGTACTTTATATTTTATCGATAAATAAAGAATAAAAACGAAAGGGAATATCGAAAAATTAACGTCCTCGAAAAGTGTTTGTTCCAAGCATAAGAACGTGAACGACATCGGAGCGTTACGTTATTTGGTATTTACATTATAATGATGTTAATTGTGGCAAGGATAACCCAATCATTATATTTTCACTTTGAAGAATGGAAAATGTTCGTGCGCCGAATGAAAAGCCTTCGTATCCGAATTATACATTGAGAATTTGTAATTTACATGTTATTTGCATTAAGTGGGCGGGCGGGGGAAGGTGGGGAAGAAGAAGAAGAAGAAAAAAAAAAAAAAAAAAAAATTAATAATTTTTATAAAATATTTAATTGTAATAAATGAAATTATGATTCGGCTACCTTGTCTCTGTGTGAAATAATATTTCCTACGATAAAGCGCGATGAAAAGAATCAAATATTTAACGATACCTCTTAAAAATTCTTATTATTAGATATAATAGTAGTTGGACATCTTAAATTCCTTGGATAAAGATACCTTTTTGTGAATTTTAATTAAAATTTGTCTTATTTACACATTACATGCAATGAGAATTATTTGAAATGGTAAAATCAATTTGTTTGTTTGTTTGTTTGTTTGTTGTTGTTTGTTGTTGTTTTTTTTTTTTTTTTTTTTTTTTTTTTTTTTTTTTTTAACGAAGTTTTATAAAAGTGAACCCTTCTAGTATCAACAACATATTATTTTCACATAAAAACATGCTTTGTTCACTAAAAAGAAAAAATGGAACGAAAAACGTAAAAATTAATAGTTTATGCTAATATTCTCTATACACTCTGTTTTTAACAGTTTATTAAAAGATATTATGATTTACTAAATAAAAACTTACAAGTCTAAATGAAGAAATATCGAATAAAGAATCTTCCACTACATCTTCAAAAATAAATTTGTCAAGCGAGATACAACTAAATTTATCTATAAAAAAGCTTTTCAAGAAATGAAGAACTCTGAGAATATTACATGTTTCACGGCCCACAACTACATTTTGCATACGCTGCAAATTTAAAGTAAACGAACATTAAAATTCAATTTAATTGCAATTCTAATTGTTAAAAAAAAATTTCCCTCTATCATAATGTTCAGATAACATGGAAACATTTAAATAAAACTTCAATTTGCATCATCTATTTCGAAAATAATTCAAGTATTTGCATATACTTCTAGAAATCATATTTTTATACAATAATCAATAAAAGCAGATTTATCGGTTACCACTATAATTTATAATACCCGCTGAGAGATAATGAAACGTACAATTAAACGGCAAATCACGCTATTGACTACATGCTTCTGACGATTATTTACTCGGTATATTATTCCGTAAAATACATCATCTACTCTAATAATTGTGTTCTGAAAAATAATCACAATCATCTGTATTATGTAATGATTGGAACAATGAATTTCCTGATTCAATGTAATTTTCTCATTCTTAAATTTCATTGCGATACACAATAAATAAATGCTTAATGAGATTATCTCTCTATTAACAATATCGTAAAAACTTGTAATTTTAGATACATCAGACTTTTGACAAAAATAACAAGCTTTTCTTCTTCATCTTCTTCTTCTTCTTCTTCTTCTTCTTCTTCTTCTTCATTTTTTTCTTCTTCTTCTTCTTTTTCATTCCGAAACGAAAATAACAGTTTTACTAAGCCTTAACGTATGCTATGTGCAATTAATTGCATAAATCATGACACAAATGGTGCGTGACGCACATTTTCATTCGCCTCTAAGGAAGTGCCTCGAAACAATCCTGTCCTCTTGGATATTGAGAAACCCCGGTATTTTATTGAGCCGGCCGTGAACCGTCTCATTTAAAATGGAATCGCGCTCTTCGTTAGAATAAAAATAAATATCATGCTCAGTTGTAAAACAGATGGCCAACGCGCGCGAATCGCCACTATTAAAAACGAAACAAAAACAAAACAAAAACAAAAACAAAAAAAAAAAAAAAACAAAAAAAAAAAGGAAAAAAAAAAAGAAAAAAAAAATCGTAGCTTTTGTGGAAACGTAAAGTAAAGAACGGCGATCTTTGTCCAGGTCATTACGGATGTCCAACGCTACGGCTAACCTCACATTTTGTTTGGATGACAAGGACATGCAACGCCATGCCATCGCTCCAAAGGGTTTTTCGAAACAATGTACATTATTCTGCGCCTGATATGCATATCAAAGCATTTACATGGCTAGCGCCAATTAGAACAAGGAATGGGCACTTTATAATTATTCGGGACAGCGCTTCCCCATACCCTTATGAAAAACAAAACCATTCTACAGTAAGCAGCGACGGTGCCAATGCCACGGTTCTCCAACAGCATAACACAAACATTATATCGTAACACCATTTTAGTATTATTGAAGTTACATTACAGTATAAACTATAAGTAGTTGTTTTTTTTTGTTGTTGTTTTTTGTTTTTTTTTTGTTTTTTGTTTTTTTTTTCAATAAGCATTGTATCGCGCGCTAATATAATATAAATCGTCTCGCGCAGGCTAAGCTCTGGGCGAAAGCTAATTTTGCTAAACCGTAATGCACACTATAATAGTTGCGTCCGGCCAATAGTGCTTGGTCCGTTTTTAAAAGTACTTCTTCTTCTTAATCGGAGAATTTAAGATTCAGCTAATGGAGTTCGCAAGTCCGTTTGTTACATCTACCACACGACAAGGGCCGAATGGGCAAGGATATATAATTGCTAAAAAGTTTTCTGCGTCAAAGTAGTAAGCCCGTCGCGTCTTAATAGGCACTATTGATTGGAAACGTTTACATGGCGTTCGGAATTAACAATGTGGCGTAGATTATATTAATAAACGAAGGTTATTTACTCTCGAACGTTGATTGCACTATTTATGTCATCAATACTAAATTATATAAGGAATAGTGTCACATTAGATATACTGTAGTACTAGAATATCTTCGTTAACTTTCTTTTTCATAAGGACATACACGTTGACGAATCGCCGAAATGCGCACTTCATAACGATGTTTTTGACCTGGATTTTGAATTTCATTCGTCTCATTCCGGGCGAATTTCACATTCGACACTCGCTAAATTTTGCCCCACCTACCTCCCTCCCATCTCTCACTCTCTCACTCTCTCTCTCTCTCTCTCTCATTTACTCTCTCCAACGTTATCATTAATTTTTCCTAATTCGTCCATTAACCACATGAAGTCGTAACGACTGATATACATGTACAAAATTATTTAAAGTAATTACGCGGTGCTTATCTCCGAATAATCGAGGCAGTGCTGCACGCATACGAAAATCACTTAACTTTAATTCTTATGTAAAAAGTCAGTCTTACGTTTTCTAAACAATGACGCTATATTTAAAAAAAAAAACAAAAAAAACAAAAAAAAATAGCGGAACGCGTCTTTCATCAATTCAACTTGGGAATTCTCAAAGTTTCTCAAATCAATAAAACAAACTTTTGACACTGCCTAAGTAAGAGGTGCAAGGGATTTCGAACATTTCATTAGCTACAATTTTTTATTTTTATTTCATTTTTGCTCGTTGTTCCTCTATTAGAAAAACCGTGGGTGCATTTAATTTGTGAACACACGCACACGCGCACTCACACACCGAGGAAAAATTATTTCTTCTCTTTTCTATATATGGTGATGTAGTTTTGTGTTTTTTTGTTGTTGTTTTTTTTTTGTTGTTTTTTTTTTTTTAAGAATCACAGGCCGCTCGCCAGAAACCGAAACAAATTGCAAAACTTTTAAGAAAACGCCTAAACAATATGAAAAAGCACTTGGCACAATAAAATAAACATGATAATACATTACAAATAAATTTTTCTCAGTGTGCATTGTTTTCATTAAATTCACAAGTCTCGATAATATTACAATTTAAGTTAAAAAAAAAAAAAAAAAAAAAAAAAAAAAAAAAAAAAAAAAAAAAAAAAAAAAAAAAAAAAAAAAAAAAAAAAA